TTGGTTTTATTTAAATGATCTAACCTCTAGTCAAATTTTAAATCTGCCCAGTCAAAATTGAAATTTTAATTCTGACTGATAAATTCTTGGTCAAAATTAGAATTCTAATTTTGCCTAGTCAAAATTAAAATTTCAATTTTGACTGGGCAAATTTAAAATTTGCCGGGATTTCAATTTTGCCTACAACATATATATATATTGATGAGGTATTAATGTAACTCTTGTCTTAACTCTCAGCGACACCTATTAAGGTGTGTTCTGTAGAGATGTATCCGCATCGTCATTGCAAACACCAATGAAAATATATCAAGGTCAACCACGTTCTATTACAATTTCGTTCTATTTTCTGCTCATATCTGATGAATTTTAATCCTTTATATATGAACAATTAAATATTTAGTCATATTTTAGATAAATTAATCAATTAAATCAATGACATCACTAACACCAAAACCATCTCAAGTTGAATCATGGGATCGTTTACCATCTGATTGGCATAATGATGAACGCATGGATGCATTATTCGCTTTTTTTAAAGATCGTGATTTAAATCCTGTTCATTATGATGCTAAAATGAAATTTTGGAGTGAAACAATAATAAATTATTGTGAAGATCATGGTCTTTTACAAATTGATATTCCAACAGTTGTTTCACGCTTTCGTCGTAAAGGAAAAACTCCAAAATGTCTTGATAAAATATTTGAAGAATTAATGAAACAAAATCGTCTTATATCAACAAATGATTATACATATTCACAACAATCATCGTGGGTATCATGGACATTCAATAGATTAGCAAGTCCACTTACAAGTTGGATGTCAACTAAAACACCAATTGATCAAGAAGTTTTTGTCATTAAAGAACTTGTTGATGTAAGATATAAGAAATTCTTTTAATGAGGAGAAAAAAAAAGTATGTTTGTCTATTTTAGAAAAAAGCTCAACAAGTTATTGAAACATTACAATCAAATGTTTATGTTCCAACATTTGACTGTGTTATTTCATATAGTTCATTTATTGATGCATGTCGTCGATGTGCATTATATGATGAAAATTCAATTAATTTAATTATATCAACATTAATAAGAGATAAAAAAATTCTAATTGATTATGTTGGAGATGCAAAAAATGTTAAAGTAAAGAAAAAATAATAATAAATAAAAACAAAATTTTGTTCTTAATTAACTATTTTTAGGTTGTTAAATTTATTGCACCTGGCACATCGAATGTTCGACCAATAACTGAAATAGAAAATAGTGTTCTTTTGTAAGAAACAATGAAAATTTTTCTCTTATTAAACACTTTTTTTACTGAATTCTATTTAGATTACGTCATTCAAAAGAACGTTTAGAAGAGCAATTAAAGAAATCTGATCAACAAATTGAAGGGTAAAATAATTTATATGAGTGCATTGCAACTATTTTTGTACAATTGACGTTTTCGAGTAGTTACGCAATCATTTTCGCCGTGATCGGACGATTTTTAAATGTTTTTCATTGTATTCCTCTTGCAGTCTAACACATTCACACCAAAGTTCACGTTTCTATCTTGTATCGTTCCTAACTTACAAGGTTGTCAATTAGAAAAAAATAGTATTTTTAAGCATAGTGTATGCAAAGGAGACATTTGTCAGAGGAAAAAAATGTAAGTAGACGATTATGTAGCTTGGATATCACTCTATTGAAGCAAGGGATTCACTGGTCTATACATCGCTCCGTTCGTATTATATATGAGCAAGACGATCCAGGGATCGAGACTAGGATCATCACGTTCTTATTTAGAGTGATATATTTTTTATGGCTCTGTAAGACTTGTGTTAGAAAATGACATAATATTGTTCGCTAGGATATGTATAAGTCATAGTGAAATCAGAACCAACATTTATTCCGATCGAAACCAAAAAACGATTGGTCCCAGTCTTCACTAGTTTGTATACTTTTAGTCTCGATATTCAATGACAGACAGTTTTTCTTTTTTCTGATGTACAATGACACAAAATCATCGTTTCTTCACATTATGAAAGACATGAATAGAAAACCAATATATCCAATTGTAGAAGACTTTTTAAGTCATTTTTTGATATAAAAGCATTTGCTTTTTCTTATTTCTATATTAAAGAGGACTCTGAGCAGCATCCAAAAGAAAGGATATTTACTCACTTTGTACAGTAACATTTTGAAACTTGCTTGGTTTATAACTCGCGAATTATTGTCCTAGGTTTATTCAAGTTTTCAGAGTAAATGAAACTCAAAAAGTTATATTAGCGATAAAAATTTCAGCTGTCTAACTTTCATTGTTCTGAATATATTCAAATTATATCACAAAATGTATGGTGATTTTTTTTCTGCTGATATTTCCAGTTAAAATAACTCAAAAATATTCTTTTCAATTGTAATTTAATTCAGAATGATTCGATACACAAATCTGAATGTACCGTGAGCTGTTCTTAGCTAATCACTTTCTATGCAAAGCTACAAAAATGACTCCAGTATTTTCATTGAAGAAAACTAATTTAATCAGTGAAGTATTGGAAAACTTTTGTTATACAGTATAGTTACCAAGTCTAATCAAATATGATACTTAGAAACTTTTCATTTTGTTTTCATCATTTGTACTAAAACGTTGCAATTCATTTATGTATATATAATCCATTGAAAAAAAAATGCCTTCGTTTATTTAGATTACTTACGGATATTCGTCGTCATTTAAAAAATAGTAATCGTACAGCTGCTATGAAATTATTACGTAAGAAAAAGATACTTGAACGTGAATATGAAAAAAAAGAAAGTACTGTGGAACATCTCAATACTGTTTTAACACAAATTGAACAAACGGATTGTTCATCATTGGTAACAAATTAAATTTCTTTTTTCAACAGAAAAAAAAAATATTCGCTTCTTCTTTATTTTATTTCAAGGTAATCAATGCTTATTCATCAGGTGTTCAAGCTCATAAAGAATTATTACGTAAAAATGGTCTTACCCCAGATGCAGTTGAAGATATGATCGATGAAGTACATGATGTAAGAGAATTTATGTTTTCAGTGGTCTTGATATTAATTATTACTCTTACTAAGATTTTGATATCACGTTTGTTGACTTATTCAACGGATATAAGCGAAACGAATGACACCTGATGTACGATCCTTGATGAGTTTATCGCCTATTTTTTCAAGTTGTTATGAATTCGAGAATTGTGTAAAATCGGTGCTTTTTATCATGAGAGCTCATGGAATGTTGTTTTTGACATATTCAAATCATTTCTTTTGTAGGGAAAATTATGAAAAATTTGGTTTAAGAAAATAAAAAGAGATCAAAAATGTCAATATTTATTGAAAACTTGTTTTTTTAATTTTACTCGTTATATGGTTAAGAAAAAAAAATTATACAAGCTTTTACAAAAAATATTGTTGCATGGTAGAGAAAATCGATTTTTTCGACATGATAGCAAGACGCCATAAACTAAAATTTTTACCATGAGAATTTCAGTTGCGAATAAAAAGAGTTTCATATTCAAAACCAGCAGAAAAAGCTGCATTGAATAGCATATTTAAAGCTTAAAACTAAGTGTCGGTTTTAGAGTAAGCTCCGATCAGAGTATTCGAAAGTAACAGTGACAAGTATAAGGATCGAAATTTAACGAAAACTCGTTTCAAATATTAAGTTTATTATTCGATGCGGATTTTACTGCTGATCCTGATTATAATCGTTCATTTCATCGCAACTGAAATTGTGATGGTCGAAATTTTCAAGTACAAAAATGTGTTTAGAGCTCATTGAATCCAAAATTTTTGGACTGAGACCTAACCATGTTCGGAACCAACCCGACTGGTTCTATCGGTGCTTATTGCGTTTTGGTGTCATATTGAAAATAATTGATTTTTCTCAATCATTATACTATATTTTTCAAAACTCATGTAACCATATGATGAGTAAAATAAAAAAAACCAATAAATATTGAAACTCTCGAAACTTGATGCTGTTGATATATTTCAATTTTTATAGACTTTTCAAATTTTCTTAAATCCAATTTTCCTGTGTTTCACTACACAAATATCCTTTGAATGTATCAAAAACAACGCTCAATGAGCTCTAGCCAACTATAGTAAAAAGGGTCTAGTCAATATTATATGTTGCAATTATTGTAGAATTCCATAAAAATTATAGTATGATGATAAGAAGGACTGCGTTTTGACATAATTTTTTTCTTTTTGAATTTCATTTCTTTTTTTAAATAATAGATGCTCGACACACAAAATGAATTAGATGAAGCACTTAGTCGACCAATTGCTAATGACACAACTGACATGACAGAATTAGAAACTGAACTTGAAGAATTATTAAATCAACCAATACCGCCGACAGGAACAACTACTGTTCCAAGTAATAAAGAAATAGTTAATACATCTGTAACTGATGAAGCTATAAAAATACCTGAACAAGATCCATTTGCAGATCTTGAATTACGTCTTCAAAAATTGGGTGTTCAAGAATGTAAGTTTCAATTATTCAATGTTTTAAAAACAAGAAAAGTTTCATATTCTATGCGTCAAATCTTTTCTTTTTAGCAACACCAAATAAAGTTGCTGATATAGCGTCATCAAATCATTAATTCCGTATGTAAAATATTAACTTGTATTTATACTTTGCTCCTTTTTTTTTTTCTTTACACAAAATGTCTTTTAACTGTAAAAATGTGAATTGTTTCTTTTTTTTTTATTATCGTATTCATTGATTTGTGTAACATTATAACATGATTCTAAACGAAGAAAATACCCTTAACATTAGAAATGCTTTCAGGCACTGGCATTTTTCTTCTGTGTCCTTGTAAAATATAATATTATTTTTCACTAAATAAGATTGATACAAAAAAAATAGTGTATAAACTTTAAAAGCATAAGTAACCTTTGCTATTGATGTAGAAAGATAAAAATTAATTATCATGTACAACTAGTCTGAGTTTCTTCTTTTCTGTATTGTTTGTTGTTTTGATTCATATATATGGTTCATAAAATGAAGTTGTTATTTCTTTTTGTGTTTTTATTTAACTATTTACAAGCTGAACATATTTGGTTTGTTAAATTTTCTCATAAATATGATTATTTATCACATATTGAAAAAAATTTTCCATTAATTGATCTACTTCAACATGATTATGATGAATCATCGTATATTTTTCTTATACCAAAGAATTATTTATCAAATTTTGCTCGTTTTATACAACAATTCAGTGGTTTCTATCGAGTTATATTTGATAATGCAAAAAATGCATGGAAGAAATCTCAATTAAGATCAAAACGATGGATTCCATCGGATGATCCATTAGATAAAACTTATTATCAACATTTTCTTTCATATGATGAACAACAAAATTGGAACAATTTACTTGCAAATTCTTCATCAACAAAAAAATTCATTCGTTTGCATACAATCGGTCATACATATGAAAATCGTTCACTTACTGTTGTACAGATTCATGCTAAATATCGTCGTCGATATAAACACCAACAACGTCGTAAACTTTCTGTATTTATTGATGGAGGTATGCATGCACGAGAATGGCTATCAATAGGTGTAGCAAACTTTGTTCTCATACAGTTTCTTACATTAAAAGAAAACAACTTGAAAGTTCAAAGAATTTTACATTATTTTGATATTTTTGTTTTATCAATGATGAATCCAGATGGTTATGAATATTCACGAACACAAAGTCGTCTTTGGAGAAAAAATCGTTCACCAACAATTGCATCAGATTTTTGGAATGGTGATGAATCTTGTTATGGTGTTGATCTTAATCGAAATTTTCCTTACCAATGGAATACTGCCTATGGTTCTTCAGCTCATCCATGTTCACAATCGTACCATGGATCAGATCCAGCATCAGAAAATGAAGTACGAAGTGTTGTTGATTTTCTTCAAACAAATAAATACTCTCAAAATAAATTTCATGCTTACTTCAATTTACATGCTTATGGAAGATTTTGGTTATTACCATGGACTTATTCAAAATCAGAGAAGGTATCGAATTATGAAAATTTATTAAAAAGATGTAACCAAGTTGCATCAAGTGTTATGAATCAAACATATAAAGTTGGACAAGCATCGTTTTTATTATACCCATGTAGCGGAACAAGTATTGATTTTGCTGCGACATTAATGCCACATTCAATGACCTTGGAATTATCGCCTATATTTAAAGGTTTACCCATGTGTTTTGAAACAAATCAAACTATTAGTCCTAATTGTACTGTTGGTTTTTTGACTGGTCCAGAAGTAATTGAAATAGATGGAACAGAAATTTTTAATGCTATTATTGAATATTTAAATTCTATTATACAAGATTATTTTCTTTGATGAAATACATAATAAAATATCTCTACAACCAAAAAAAGAAATTGTCTATCTTTTCTTATTTTATTTTCTTTCAGACCAAAAAAGGTAAAAATTAACAAAGAATATGCGTCTCGAAACGTGTTATTATTGTTCGTCAACGATTTGGCCTGGACATGGTATTCAATTTGTACGAAATGATTGCAAAGTAGAAAAGATCATTTTACTTTTATATCATATCTATTTGCCTCTTTTTTTTGTTTCAAAAACATAGATCTTTCGATTTTGTCGATCACGTTGTCATCGTGCATTTAAGAAGAAATGGAATCCACGTAAATCACGATGGACAAAAGCACACAGAAAATTTACTGGAAAAGATTTAGCAACAGATACAACATTTGAATTTGAAAAACGTCGTAACGAACCAGTGAAATATAATCGGGAATTATGGCAAAATACATGTGAGATAAGGACATTAGATTAATAATCAAGAACAAAAATTCTTCTTGTATTTTAGTCAAAGCTATGGAAAGAGTCGAAGAAATTCGCACTAAACGAGAACGACATCATATTATGAAACGGTAAATCTCTTTTTCTATTTCTAATAAATATGCAGGGTGTTCCAAAAGTCTGTGCGAAAAGTTTATGTAAATACAAGCGATTTAGTCGTTTTTTTAAAAAAATAATATCCCTTTCTTGTCCTGTGGCCCCTATACGAGCTATTTTATAAAGTGAGTGTGGATGTGTATGATTTAGTTGGGTGGATAGACGAGCATTACGTTCAGCCAAATCCTCAACATACCACGTGACTGTAATGCTCGTACATTTAGATGAATCATATTATCGTGCCTATTTTGTTGTAAATTTCAGAAATCTTTTCAAATAAAAAAGAATAAAGAATGCATGACGTATTTTATATATTGATGATGATGGATTTGGTTCAAAATTTTTTTTGTACAAATGAGGACCGTTCTCTGCATGGAGCTCTTGGAAAAATTGCACCTTAAATGGTTGTATTGAAATGAGTCACGCTATTACAACAACCCGAACACTCGATAGTAGTACATGTTTACCAGCATCCCGAACTTCGTTTATTTACTATTATAATGATTTCACGAAAAGCATCCATAGTACAGTCTACATCTGATATTAGTAGGCCAAATTTGGAATGGAGTTTTCTTTTAACAATGATTGGTGACTTAGATTAGATCTTGAGCAAAATTATTTTTATTTTTGAATGTTTATCAATATAGACATCTATTTAAAAACATACAGAACAAAACTTCAGAAAATATATTATGATATTATAGAAAAATATATGAATTACTTGAGCTGTTCAAACATTATTCACAGAAATTTTCCACAAGGACTTTTGGGATATTTGGTAAAGCGGCCATTTAAAACAAAAGAAGACATAAACATCTTTCATTTGATCTTGATGCTTTCTAAGGATTACTTTTTTAAATCATTTCTTTTGGCATATATATATCTAAATCTTGGTTCTTTCAGCTGAATACTAATGAAATAATTATTGACGAAGATCTCTCTAATCGTAAAAGACAAAATATTGAAAACTTCAAGATATGCTCTAAGGCATGAATTACATCTAAAGTGAAATTTTCAGTAAAATTAAACTCAAAAAAATCCTGTTGAAAACTAATTTTCTAGAGATTTTATTAAGTCTTGGAACAAAACTGTTTATCTTATTATTACATCGAGATTCTGAAGAAGTATTTATGTCGTTTGAAATTAGTTTTGAACTTCTCATTCCGTTATAAAAGCATTTTTTTTCGTTTGTATAGTCACAATCCATCACATTGCTAACGAAAAATAAATAGATTTTTTTGAAAACCTAGGTATGTTCAGGAAAAACTTTCAATAGTGATTTTATAACATCAGGAGTTATCTACAGAATGTAACGTTTAGTTTAAAAAATTGCCGCCATCAAAAGTTATTTGAAAACTAAAACGCATGAAGTGAAAATCGAGGTCCATTTTACAATTACTTTTTAATTAAATAATCCTCTGAACAACAGTCTCTAGAACTGATTTTTTACGGAATCTACAGTAGCGTAGCATATATGCAAAAAATTACAGTTTAGCTCTAGGAAAGTTTATTATTTCGAGATATACGTTTTTTAATTTTGCAAAGCTGCGTAGCTCACGAATGATTTTACTCATAAATGTGTATAATAATTTCTTTTTTTAGACTTCGACAAGGTACACTTGATCGAAAAGCAGCTGATTTACGTGAAGTACGAGATTATATTCATCTTGTACGAGCACCAAATGCCACAAAACCCATGGAAGAAATTGAAATGGTACAAAAAGCAATAGCTAAGCGTGAAGAAGCTGGGGAACTTCTAACAAAAGTTGGAACAACAGTAGCAACAACAAAAAAATTAAGTGCACTACGTCGTCGTGCACCAAAAATTGAAGTTACTATGGAAACATCAGATACAGAACAAGTGCCTGCCGAAGAAATGGAATAATCGATTTTTTTTTGCTTTGTTTTGTTTATTTTGTTGTTATTTTTTGTTTGAAACAATAAGAAAAACAATAAAATCTCACTGTACCGATGTTTATAAAAAAAAGACACTTAGAAGTAAAACCTTTGTTTTTTTTTAAAACTTTCTTCTAATTATTCTATTAAAGATGATCTATGTCTGTCCGTCGTTCTAAACTTGCACTAGACGTTCTTCGTCTTTATGCTGAATATATGCGTTTAAGTCGACAAGTTCAAGGTTTAAGAGATATAGCACGTACTGAATTTAAACAATATAAAGACCTTAAGCCAAAAGATAATCTTATTTATATAGAATATCTTATTCGACGAGCTAAATCTCAATTAACAACACTTAAAGGTCAAGGTGTTACATCAATACAGTTATCATCACCAAAATCCAAATAATGACAGAATCTTTATCAAATATTCTCGCTAATTTCCCATCAACTTATACGATAAACGGACATGATAGTCAACAACATATAAAATTTGCATTTGGTTATGGTTCTGGTGTTTTAAAACAACAACAAGATATAAAAAAATCAACAAATCAAAATCAAATTGATCTTATATTGGCTGTCAACAATTCATTTAAATTTCATGAAGAAAATCTTAAATTAAATTCACATCACTATTCATTTTTAAGACATTTTGGTGTATCAACAATAACACGTATACAAGAAACAAGAGGAGCTAGAATTTATTTCAATCCATATGTAAAATTTAATAATGATTCAAATACACTTTATAAATATGGAGTTATATCACGAAAACATCTTATTAGAGATTTACTTGATTGGGAAACACTTTATGTTGCTGGTCGTCTTCAAGTTAGTTTCTTATTTTTATCTTTTTTACTGATTAGATTATGTGGATCATTGACTCAAATAGATTTTTAAAGTTCTCAATATTTGAACTTATCTTTTTATGCTGCGCGCAACATAGGCGTCAGAAAGTTAAAAATATACGACGGGCTCTACAATCTTTATAAGGTTCTCACTGAAAAGTTAAGAATGGAGGGAGACGAATTGTTTTATGCTATTTAGATTATATATATAGTTAGGATATCTTTTTTCTTAACTCATAATTTCCACTATAAAAAGTTCTTACGGTTAAGAAAAAAATTGCATTTTTGCATTAAAAAAACGTGCACTCAAAGAAACATGCTAAAATTTATCTGAGATTTATTTCGACTTTTGAAAGAAAATTTTTCGATCTGCTTTACTGAAGAACAGAATAATAATGAAGCAGCAGTGTTCACAAATAAAAATGAACTCTATTCTCGGTTCGTTCATTTTGTAGAAAACATATCTTACGCATGTAAGTTTACTATATGAAAGTGAAGAAAAATTTCGGCAACTTGCAGTTTATCTGACTCGGATTTCCAGTACAATTCTTCTGCATCCAAAAAATGTTTTCTAAGTATACTTTACGACGAAAATGCTACTATTTGCTGTTGAAGCTGGTGAAGAATTTTGATATGTGTACAAATATTTTGATGCATTGCATGAATCTATCGACGTAGTAGAATGAGAAAAAAATGTTTGAGTTTATTCTAGTCTTCGATAGCTACATGTAAGATAGACTTCCATGTGACAATGTAAGCGAAAAAGCTAATCTTATATGTTTGTTTAACAAGCGCTTGTAAGCGCACATTTTAAGGCACTTGAAAGTACTTCGAACATATTCAAACCCTTTTTATCGATTAGAATAGTAATGAAAGCTCTTTAAAGTCGCTTTTAGTGGCTGAAAAAGTGGAATTCTAAATCCTTACAAGCTACTTAGAACTCTTCTATTTGACAGTAGTTGAGAAGTACTTAAACATAACGTAATTATGAAATACTTTTCAACTACATGAAACTTAAGCGGCTGTGAATCGCTAAATCTCATTACATTTAAGCCCTTATCAGCTGCTATCGAATAGATGAGTTCTCAGTAACTTATAAAGACTTAGAATCTGACTTTTTCAGCTGTGTGTGAGTATCGACATGGTCTGAATAAGAGCGTAGCTGTCGTTTTTCTGCTCTTTCTGCACGCAGAGTGACATCCATATTAAAATATTCGCGGAAAAAATTGTACTGCATATTTTTCATCTATTATGGCATTTCTAGTATCGTGGTTTTCGGGATGTAAGACAGTACTATAATTGTTCAAAATTTTGTGGTCAATAATGTATGGTGATGCAAATTTTATTTGATACGTTAGAGTTGCTTGAATTTCGAGAATTCTATAAGTGCAAAACTCACTGAATTCGGACACATCTAAGATTCTTCTTGAGATTATCAATATGATTTTAACAGATGTTCATTATGATTCATTTTCATTTGGATTTTCAGACTTTTCACTGTTATTTTTCTTTTAGAAACCAGTACATGTTATACAAATTGATCAAGCCGATCAAGATTTAATCTATGCACTTAAAACCAATTTAAATAGTGCACTACATGTCGCTTTACTTCTTCTACCTGAAGAATTTACATTAAAAGATTTATTCCTTAAAATAACATCTCTTTCATATCAAGGTGATTTTCGTATGTATATTGGAGAAAATAAAAATAAAATATCAAATATAGTTCTTCCACAAATTGATTTATTTATTAATCTTTATTCAAATTTAATATTAAATGATACACATTTACATTGGAATAAAACTCGAACATTAGATACAATAGTTAAACAAGATGTAACACCAACAGCAATATTTAAACGTTTACTTACTTTACCTAAACATGTTATTAATAATATAATGGATTCAATAACATTAAAAACAAGACAATATCAAGATACAGAAGAAGTGATTAGAAAATTATGTCTTAGTACACAACGAACAGAAAAAATTGAGCATGCTGTACGATCAATTGTTAAAAGATCAAGTCTGACACAAACATTTAAGGGTCTTTTAACTGCCGGTTTTTTTCGTAGTACTCGTTATGCTTTGGAAAAATTAAAAAAAATGATTCGTTGATTTTGATTTGTAATTTTTCTTTGGTTTTTTTTTTAAAAATATACGTATTTTTAGATGAAAATAGCTGTTGTCGGTCTAGGTGGAACAGGTAGTGCAGCACTTCGTTTTCTTGCACGTTCCGGTCATAATGCTATTGGTTATGAACAATTTCATATTGGTCATGAACATGGTAGTTCTCATGGAGAATCACGAATAATTCGTTATACTTATCCGGATGTGTTATTTACTCAAATGATGAGTGATGCATATGAATTATGGTTTGAATTAGAAAAAGAAGCCGAAGAACAATTATTAGTTCAATGTGGTGGTCTTTATTTTGGTGCTAATAATGATCCAAATATTTTAGCTACAGAACGTGCATTAATTGAAGCTAATTTACCTTTTGAACGATTAAATGCTGAACAAGTAAAAGAAAAACATCCAGCTTTTCATTTATATGCAAATGAAACAGCTATTTATCAAAAAGATAGTGGATTTTTACGTGCAACACGATGTGTAGAAGCAAATATTCGTTTAGCTAAAAAATATGGTGCAATAGTTCATGAAAATACAAAAGTTCAAGAAGTATATACAAAAAATGATAAAACATTTATTCAATCATCTCTAGGTGAAGAAGAATACGATCGTGTGATTGTAACTGCAGGTCCATGGATGAGTTCTTTATTTAAATCTTTAAATTTACCATTAGTTCCAACTCGACAACAGATTGTCTATCTTAATATAAATGATCATGATGAATATTTTCAAGCAAATGGAACATTTCCTGTATGGATTGATACAACAGATAATCTTTATGGTTTTCCAAGTGATGGTCAAATAAGTGGAATTAAATTAGCATTTCATCATTGTGGTTCAGTTATATCTGATCTAGATGCGGAAAGAGCTCCAGTTGATGAAAATTATATAAAAGAAATATGTTGTTATGCTAAAAAACGTTTTCCAAATTTAGGTTCTAATGTGACTCATAGTCAAACATGTGTTTATACAAATACGCCTAATGAAGATTTTATTATTGACCGTGTAACAAATCAACCAAATGTATTTTTAGTTAGTGGTTGTTCTGGACATGGTTTTAAATTTACAGTTTTGTTAGGAAAAATCATTTCCATGATGGCAACAGATGATAATGGATACAAAAGAAATTTAGATCGATTCAAACTTAGTAGTTTTTTATAAGATTTTAAAGAAATTTTGTGATGATTATTTTTTTTTGTAATCAAATATTTATAGTAAATGATTTTATGATTTTATGATTTTAATTATCTTTTTTAGATTTCTTTTTTATTTTTCTGAGCGATGAAAGTTCAATTTGCTTCAAATTTCCGGTAAAATTTATTTTGAGTTTTAGCAAATGGAATTTGTTTGTTTTTCTTTTAGTGATTCTAATCGGATTCAATTTGATTTTCAATGTCTACTTATATTAATTTGTTTTGTTTTTTCATGGCTTCTTATTTATTTAACAACAAATGGTAATAATAAAAAAAATAAGAAATTTGTCTTTTATAATCATTTTTATTAGATGAACTTTGTAAAGCAATATTTATTCAAAATTGTCTTATATCAACATGGACAATCATATATTCAATTCGAATGATTTTATCACATTCTTCAAAATATAGGTTTGCTTTTATGATCTTTCAATGTACAGTGACAATAATTAATGGTTCAGCAATGCTTATGATGCTTTTTTATGAAGGTTTAAATATTACAATTCTCTTCACGATAGTTATAATTATTTTTGTTTAGATTTTGGCTTATGTTTATTATTAGTATTTTCTCTATTTTTGAGTAAATCAATATTTATTGCTGGTCCAACACTTTGTCCACAGACATGTTCATTTATTGAATGGTTATTAATATCAATGGGTTGTAGTGGATTTTTTTTATCAATTAATCTTCATTGGTGGTCACATTTTGAAGTAAAAAATTTTTAATTTAATTATTTATTGAATGATTTTATTTGAAAAGGATATTATTAATCGTCCAATTTATACTCTTGATTATGTTGTTGTTTGTGAAGTAAGACAAAAATTTTTCTATTTTTAAAATTATTTTAGTTTTGTAGTGTTTGCTTTTATTTGGTATGATTGTATCGATTTTACAAATAATGCCATGGTCAAAAATTATAAGCACTACGACACAATTTTATATTTCATTAATAACAATATTTTTATGTGTTTTTCTACCACAAGCATATTTTTTTCTAAATCAAAACCCATTTACATGGTTATTTAATTATATTTTGAATAAATCACATCGAGTGAGTGAGTATATAATACAGTTTATTGTTATCTGTTGTTGATGAATCTTTTTCTATTCATAATTTTTTTATAGGTTTATTTATTATTATTTTGGTTAATTATATCATTAGTTTCATTATTAATTGTTAATCTTCATTTGAAATTTACAACAAATTTTAATATTAAACATGAAAAAACAATAATAAGAAAATATTTTCATTTTTTAGCTATTATTGTTTATACAAGTGGAATAGTATTTGATACAAATTTATTAATTATGTGTTCTATTGCATTTATCGTTTTACTTTTATTATTAGAGGTGAAAAATAATTTCGAACAAACAAATAATTAATGAAAAAAAGAAAATATTTTGATTACTTTGTTTTTTAGTGTATGAAAATAAAAAACATTCCCCCATTAGGAAATATTATACGTCATGCATGGAATATGTATGAAGATGAGAAAGATACTGGATCAATGATGGTTTCTCATTTATTTCTGATTATTGGTTTATCTTATCCAGTATGGTTAGCTGATGATAGTAAGTTTAATTGTAAAAGAAAATGAACAAATGAATTTATTAAAGAAAAAAAACTTCTAGATAGACGTTTAGCACAATTAAGTGGAATTATAAGTGTTGGAATAGGTGATTCAATTGCATCAATTGTTGGATCCAAAATTGGTACTCATAAATGGCCAGGTACAAAACGAACTTTAGAAGGCTCATTAGCTGGTTTAATTGTGCAGTTCATTTTTATTGGTTGTATGTGGTATTTCAGTACGTAAATATTCTACACATTAATAGTTTCATTTTGTTTACTTCATGCATCAATGACAATAGATGTATTTTTTTGATACGCATTCGAATAGTTAATCATTCGAGTAATCAAAAATTACTATTTGTCTATATTTTTTTTTGTCATAAGAATGTATAAATCACAATATGGACCTTGTTTAGATATTCAATGATTATTTAAGAGTAGTAAGAACAAAAAGCGTTGACGTCAATTACTCCCCAAAAGAAAAGTATTGAAATTGATTTACAAATGTTTATCACTTTTCATGAAGTTAATGAATGAATATGTCTTTTTCCAAAAAGATGTATTATATCATACAAAAATTCGTAAGACTTATTTCTCAATATTGAAAATTCGATCGATCTAATTTTTAACTATTGTTTATTTTACATATGAAATTTTCAGGCTTTGTTCTTTCAAAAAACAAAATAATTGAATACACTTATTTTCAATATTTTCGACATATTTTTGTATTAAACATTAGATCAAATCATATAATACTCAATTGTGTATTTTTTCTTCGTCTTAATAAAAAATATTCATGTCGAGAAAAAAACTAATTCAATTTAGGTGATTCACAAGGACACGATAAGGTAAAAAAAAAATCATAAAATGATTGCAGGTCAACTCAACGTAAACAACAAACTCAGACTATATTTACAATAAATCTAGGAAAAAGTCAACATCATGTTCACCGTTTTATGAATAATAATTATTTACATTACTGTATGAGATAAGATGTACTAAGATAATTGTTATTAAAGATTTCTGAATATGTTAAAATGTATAGACGAATAATAACCGTGACCATAATTAGTTATAATGTAAAATTAATTACAATATTCAAAATTAAAATTGTATCAAAGTAACTTTATAACTATTAGGGAAAATAATTCAGAGAGAAATTAAATAAAATGACTAACAATATATCAAGAACATATAATTTTATATATGATTATAAATACAAATTCTTCTAGTTGTGTAGAAAGTGTTACACAAGAATACCTAATAGTTCCTTTAGAAATCTATAGTAAAACCTCTCCATTGTAGACATTATCATATAGCTCTATGGTGGATATTTTTGAAAAGTTCCAATAGTGTTCACAATATGGAGATTTTACTATAGATTGACAATTATTAAGTTTTCAAGAAGTAAAATATAATAGAAGACAAGCAACAATGAGCAAAATGAAATTTTTTTTACTCACTAATATCCTTCAGATATCTAGACAATGCGTCTCTTCCTTGTAAAAAACTTCTTTCAGAAAAGCTCTAGCCTTTTATACTGAACATTTTTAATAAGTCCGAACGATGTTCACTATAGAAAGATTATACTTCATGATAATTCATACAAGTTTTCTGTGTTTTACGACTTTTCATGATATGATATTTGGTTTTTCGTAATGAATATAATTCTAGTCTTTCTATAATATTTCAACGAGGCCAAAAAAATAAATAAATATCAACATTCAATTATTGCTCATCATTGAGATTTCTCTACTCATCTTTTTCATGAGATAGATCTTCATTTTTTATAGGCTACTCTCATGTCATATACATGTCACTACATCGTATGTACTGCAATGTGTGTAAGAGGGCAACAAACACTACGTTACTATCATATATATTATCAGTTCTACTTGGTGACTACTAACCGTTTAATGGATTGTTGCGTTTCATTTTTATAATGAATATCAGCAGAAAAATAGAAAAAAAAAATTTTTTTTTTTCTTTATTTAAGATTTGATCTCTGACATATTGATTTTTGTTTTTTCTTCTTTCTTTTAGACGTTGTTCCATATTCTCAATATAATTTATTCTTTGTTTCGTTGGGTCTACTGTTTACAACACAAACAGAAGCATTCTCTCATGATATTGACAATTTAACATTGCCTATTTCTCTTTTTCCATTTTTATATGCATGTAGAACTTAGTAATATGACGGTGACATCAAATGATGAAATGTTGTTGTTGTTTTTTTTATTTCTTACTCTGTTAAATTTGATTCTACTTGATTTCATATAAAAAAGAGATAACGAAGAAAAATAAAGGGAAAAAAACGATAGATAAAAAGGTATTGCATAGTTGAATTAAAAATATGAATATCGACTTTATGCATAAATCATGACATATAAATAAATGATTAATACATTCATATATGATATGTTTGCATTTGACTGTCAATTCGTTTGCTTTAAGCTAGTAATATTAATAATATTTACTTAATATTAAACAAAGACGTTCTTTTCACATCTAGTATCTATAAAGATATACCTTTTATTTATTCAGCAAAATAAAACTTCAATTGCAACAATCCTTAAGCAAAAGAGCGAAATAAAATACTACATAAAAATTAGGAAAAAAAGGAACGTAAATTCAATGATCCTCCTTAAATGTTAATTCTATTTGAAAAGTTTAATGTTGGTTATATTAGTCATTTATAAACCTTGTTGGAAGAAGCGACTGAATTCAGAACGATCAATCAATCCATCACGATTGGTATCAACAGCATTGAAGGCAGCACTAGCAACATCGACACCACCAACGCCTTCGTATGATGATGATGATGCTTCATATCCACCACCATATCCACCACCATATCCAGCACTCCATCCAGCACCATATCCTCCACCATATCCTCCACCATATCCACCACCATATGATAAGGATCCACCATATCCACCACTACCTAATGAGTAGCTTGATGAATCGTAGATTGAACTTCCACCAGCCAAACCAGCATCTAATAAGTGTCCGCCTTCCCAGCCTGCTGATGAGCTAAAAGCACCAAGGTCTTGACCATAGGCTGCTGCACTGTAGCCAACAACAGCACCAGCTGGAGGTGACTAAATAATACAATCAAAAGGAGTAAATATCCTTCAGTAGAATAAAAAAGAATAAATATTTACGATATCTTCGACAACACCAGCAGCACGAGCTTGTGCAAGAAGTGAAGCACCATCAAGAAGGTGAAAACCATATTGTTGAACATAAGCTGCTGGATTAGCTTGAACAACACCAAGTCGTTGGAATTGACGAACAATGCGTACTGGAGCGGGTTCGTATTGAATGATAACATTACGTGGACGAGGATATGGTAGAGCAGGTGGTGCACGTTGTACAATTGTACGACGTCTAGCTTGTGGTCCATATGGAACCCATCGTTCGATGATGATGTCACCTGTAGAAAAAAAATAAAAATATTGAATGTAAAAGAAAAAAATAAAAGAAGAAACTATTACGTACGAGGACGAGGTGGAAGAGGTGGTAAACGTTCGATGATGACCGATCGTGGTGGAACAGGTAAACCTGGTAAACGACGAATGACAGTTTGTGAAGCAATCACTGGTGGTGGTTGTGGTGGACGTTCACGAAGAACGAGTGGAGGAGGTATTGGAAGAGGAGGAGCTTGTTGACGAATGCGAAGGGGTGGTGGAAGTGGTGGTTGAGGTGGGCGCACTTCTCTAATGATGAGTGGCTAGAAAATAGAAATTCATAGATAATTAGAGAAACAAGACTAGGAAGAAAAAACAACTTACGCCTGGAGGTGGAACTGGTGGTGGTTGGAGGAATCGAAGTCTAATGTTTTGTAAATAGGTTTGTACACCACCAGCAGCTGGACGACGGATGATTTGTGGGTTAGGATCTTGGTAGAGACCTTGAGCGTCAGTTGGATATGTGTGCACAGCAGTAGAATATGCTGCACCAGAATCATATCCAAGGCCTCCACCACCAAGAACAGTAACATTAGCAGCACCAGCACCAGCACCATAGGCTGCTGATGAATCAAGTGATGAAAAATCATATGAAGATGCACCACCATAACCAGCACCACCATAACCAGCACCAACAAGTCCAGCTCCGTATGCACCGCTACCGTATAATCCAGAAGTTTCATAGACTGATGAGCCACCGCCAATTAAACCAAGGCCCGCACCATATCCAGCACCGCCGAGCTCATAACTCGATGATCCACCCCATCCAGCTCCATAACCACCAGCACTACTCCATCCACCTCCAACACCACCAGCACCACCGACAAATTGCTGGAATTCCTGACGATCAATGGTACCATCACGGTTGATATCAACTGTGTTGAAGATTGCGCGAGCAGCGTCGAAACTCATGATTGTAGATAATCACCAGTTATTTCTAGTCGATGAGACTCGAATGAGAACGATAACGATGAATGTAATTATATTGAATATTTCTGCTTACTTTTATACTCCGACAAGAGTAGTATAACGACGATAACCCCTCAACTCAGTCAAGCGTATATTGTGTAAACATTTTTTTTTTCTATAGGTTTATGGCTAAAAATATATTTTTTTTTCTCTTTATTGCTCTCCTTGTATTTGGTTGACAACGCTCCCTTATCACAACCATACAACCACCAATCACCGCATGCATCTGCCTAATTATACCTTTTTTTGTGGTTACTTATTACCACGGACAAATATACTAAACAAGAAAAAAAAAACATTATTTCTCTCTCTCATTAAATGCACCACGTCATATACAAGAGTCGAAAAAAAAATTGATTATAGATATGATTGAGACAAAAAGAGAAGGTCCACTCATTTTCATGACAATAGTCCAAGGTTCTCACATCCCAAAAAAATGCCCAACGCTTTAGTGAACTCATGCTTGTTCGTACTTGTCTGTTTTTGATAATATTTTTAATTTATATATGTTAATCACCTTATGTAAATAAATAATAATAAAGCATTATTATTTACTCTCATTTTGTATTACTATGTATGCATTTTTTGAATAATCACAAAAATACTAAGTATGATAAACATGTTATTAACTTTTGTTTGTAAAATAAAATCATTCCTTATTACACGCTGATTATTTTATAATTTTATTTTGATATTAGAAATCTTCATATATTTTACAGTAGCACTCAAGTCACATGAATGACTTTTGTTTCAGATTCTCATGTTTCATATGTGTGCATCAGTTTTTTGTTTGATTCATCATAGAAAAAAGAAATAAATCTTATCATCAATGAAATAATGATAGAAAGAAATTATTAAAAGATTAAGTTTATAATTATCAAATTTTTTGGCGAACGCTTTGCTTATGTAAAGAGTCGATTAATGATATGATTCTAGAAACGACCAATATGACACGTATACATAAATTAATGAGGGCTGCTAATGTAAGTGAAGAAAAATTGATTATATTTATGGCTTGTGTGACATCGTTTGCATGAAAAGAATTATGAGTAAAATGATTGTTGTTCAGCATGATATCGTATCAAAATTTTCTATTAAATTCAAACATTTGAAATATAGAATATAAAACCTCCTTCGACAATTTTTCGTGTTACAAGCATCTAAGTTTTGATTATATTCAAGTGTTTACCATTCGTATTAAACTAAGATTCCTACAATTGAACACAAAATGAAAACAATATCAATATTTCTATTTCATATCAGTGTAATGACTAAAATAAATGTTGATATGAATTGTATCAAAGATTACCAACAAGAGATGACTTATCAAGCAATTCTATTTATTTCAATGAAATATATCAATAAAAAAGTTTTTCTTTCTGACTTGCTTGTTTTCGTATATTTTGATTTGTAGATAAACAACTAAGATATAAATAAACGTGATGAAAATGTCATTTTGAGCATGATATATGATTTCTTTTTATCTATTTTTATAAACCTTTATAACATGAAAGTATTAATATAATTTTACACGATTCAAAGATCGTTTCTTATTTGATAAATTATTGAATAGGCATACAGCATCTTTTGCTGCAAAGTTTTATAAAATCTCAAGATTTTAATATAAACATATCTGATCATAAGAAAAGCAGAGAACAAGTATTTTTGATCATCCATGCTGTTGTTTTTTAGTAGTGATTTTTCATTATATCTTCTCGAGTGTTTCTATACGGTTCACGCAGTTCCTCATCCAAATTAATCACTTTGCTTGCAACGACCAAATAGATTAATGGATGGTTAAAGCAATTCGTGAATAGAGTGCATGTATCCATAGATATATATTCACTTAAAAATATGATTCTTCTTGAGATTGACGACATTCTATACACTAATTAGTCTGATTAACGGAGCATATCAAAAAGTGTGAGTGCTGAGACATTGCTAATTGGGAAAAGTACCAAAAAATATTGTTTCCTAGGTTAATATTGTAATATATGTGCATATATATATAATGTCTGCTTGACAGTTAGGAACATCAAACAATGTCAGTAAGATTGTTGTCGATTTCGAGCAGCACCTGCACTTTATTGACAAATAATACTATTAAATGAATGCTGAAAAAACGTTGATGATCAAAAATTCTGTTACCCATAAAAGCAACATAAAGGAATATCATATCAGATAAGTAGATCGCTTTATGAAAATCAACCATTTAACCTATGTTTGAATTACATGTACCGTTGATTATAACAATAGTGTCTATTTGATAATCTACCTTTATGTGGATTTATGACTCAGATAATCAAAATTTATCATTGTTTTTTTAATTGAATAATATTATTGTTTGATCAACTGTGTAATCATCGAATGACTACTATAGGTATATTATTATGGACTCTAAAGGTCATTTACATATTGATAAAAAAAGTGAATGAATGTATTGATGTATCATAACCAAACAAAATTGTGATTTTACTATTATTGAATACAAGCACAGACGATACTAGATTAAACAAAACTTTTTCAAAAACTTCATACAATATCAATTTTCTTTTACTTACTCTACGCAAAAATTAATAAGAAAATGATAATCTTTCAAAGACTTTTTATTAAGAATAATAAATGAATTTTACAAATGAATTGCAAAAATCATCATAATCCGTTTAAATCTTCTGTTAATAAAAGAGCGAAAAAACAATTTCGTATATTGATTGCAGAATATAATAAATTATACAAATTCACTTCATTTAATTCATTTTCTCAAGAAGAAAATTTACTAAAATAATTTGCACATTTGTTTCTATATGATAACGCCGAATTTTTAACGCTCTTGCATGACTTTGTATACGTGCAATACTATTGCCTTTGTTCTTTAGTTCTTTTCTGTTAGTGTAAACGAACTAGATATCAGCTCATACATATTTAAAAGCATAAGAATAAAAATGATGTCTTCATCAGTATTGATCATTGTTCTGAATTCCATCTTTGCTTGGTATATACTTTATTGAAATGAAAGAAGTCATTTTAACTACGTATTTGGTCAAAATGACTTCACGTATCATTTATGTATTATATCATATTTTTTTTTCATGAATCCACGTATGATTAGAGCAATTTTACTCAATTTTATTGACGTATAGTATCTTTAATATATTCATGAAAATTCACTTTTGAGTTTTTATAATTGAATTCTCTCCAGATTGAAATCAATAATTTGGTATTAAATATGAGATTTTATTTACATAAGATATAATCTAAACATTGCTCTTGTTAATAAAATTATTAAAGAAATTTTTACTTCTATAAAAACGGTAAGTATCAGCAGCAACAAAGAGAAAACAACGATTTATTGCACAACGAAATATACGATCGAATATATTCGTTGAAGAATGAATGCATATATACAAGGACCTGTTAAGACCATCTTCAACATTGTAAATAATAGAAATTTATTAATGAAGTCACTCATGATACTTTAAAGCAATATTTATACATATTATTCTTATAAAAAGAATTGTATCCTGTCTTCTATCATGATTAAACATTAGATCTCTCTAGAGTAAAACCAAGTGAAGATATTCAAATTTTTTATTGTAAAACTACTTATGAATCATTTAATATAAAAAATCAATTTCTTTTAAGCTTAGAACAGAGGAAATTTCATCTGGCATAAATTTAATTAGTATAGAAAAAGAATACTGAAACTGATGCATACCTAACATAATTAGAGCTCTATTCATTTGTTTTAGAATATTTTGTGGAACTCACTGAATTGACGAAGGAAAATAGCGAGTGTCAGTTACAGAGCGAGATTTTTTTTCTCTCTCTTTCATGCAACTCAGGTCACAGCATAATGGTGAGTGTATAGATAAATGATTTTGACTACGCTGACAATCATACTATACTAGCAAAGACTTTCGCAATTGATCTTAGTAATCAAAACCAAAAGCCAATAGGTACGTGTTCATAAAGATCAAAAGCAAAAAATATCCGATTCCGTTTCTATAGTTCTTTAGTAATGCAAAAAAAGACATCGAATAGTATTGACAACGAGTCTGTGACGATTCAAAAATACTCCCAAGTCTTCCTTGAAATTTAAATAGTTGGAATGCGTTTACAAGCGTTCTAAATAGTGCAAATTTCAGATTTTTGTACAGATAAAATGTGTCTTAGATGATGACTGATGATATCTTGCATTGCTACAGTGGTCGTATGAATCACACTAGAAGTATGAATTGATAAAGTTGTAGCTTTCAAAATTAATTGATACCAGTGTTTCGGAAGTTATCGAGATACATTATAGCTCTTAGAGACCTATTGTAAATATAATAAATGTGTACAACAGCCTTATTTATCAGTTAAATCAATCTCTAGAATAATAATAATAATAATAATAAGTGTAGTAGTAATTTAATAAAAATGAAGAAAAAGAAGAGAAAATAAATAGAGAGCGAATAGTAACAACACAAATAAACAAGACAGATCGCTTGTCTAACGATTGATTAATCTTTGGAAAGAAGCTATTACCTGTTAGATATTTTTCAATTAACTTATTCTTTTGTGAATAGAATGAAGTTAATAAAAGACATGTGGATTCTACATTTTAAACTCAAAAGAATTACATTGACAAAATTTTTATTACTGCATCGAAAAAAAGCTTCAACACATGCTGACTTTGCCAGTTCATTTCTTTTAATATGGTAATACGAATGACAAAGTAGATGATAATAGATTATGAATGATTACATACTGTCCGTTCTATATATTGGTTGCATTTTTCTTTGGTTCAAGTTAACCTCTATCAAACTCGTAAAAAAAAATATCTATACATATCGATTTCTTTCATTCTAACGGTTTTGAAGAAGATACAAGTCTTTGAATGTGATATAGTATCTATTGATTTTTTTTTTTCAACAAATTTTGATACTATTGTTTACTTTGAA